CTGCGTAAGTGAAGTAAGAGGGCTGGGACTCAGTAATGACATTTGTCATTATTATCATTATATTGTATCAGCTCGATCCTTTGGGGATGCAGTTGTGTAGTTTTCATTAATGAAAAATTTATTCACTACGGCTCCTAAGTGTCGTGTCTTAATACTCATGTTTATCCTTCACACACCAGGACACCTCCAGTCAGGCGTTACTTACTCAGAGGACGCTATCATTCCTTTATTCACAAAAACAACTTACCGGTGTATTATACGTATAATTTGCAAGCTTTATACGTTTAGATATTATTACAAGGCGTTTTTATATAAGATGGTCCCTTAGATTGAATAGCGTAATTATATCTAACAAAACTTTTGAAGTAAGTTCTTCTTCTATGTTGCTCTTGATAAGTTATGAATTCATGGTGTTATACTGATAGTCGCTATAAAACCTCCAACTAACATATTCAGTGACCCACGGAGAAGGCTATATTCGGAGTTTCGCGTGATGGATATTAAATCGAGGCTAACCCCAGAAGAACAATACGTTATGTGATCGTCATGTTGAGAATATAGTATAATCATTGTTATCCGTGATGTTGTTCAAGATTTCATGATGGTTCCCACTTTTAATTAGGTGGGCAATCTATTTATTATTCTCATACAAAATTGATTAATAAAAAAATATGTACTGAATTTATTTTTTTAATTCGTTTCTAGTAATACTAATATACCAGCTCTCTCTTTTTAATGAAATAGAACAAAGTACTAATAATTTTATTCATCTATGAATTGATCTATTGCAGTGTACCTGGAAATAATAATGTAATGAGAAAAATAATTGCGTAGCAATACTTTCTCTTTGATATCACTTGCTATGTAATTTAAAAATTACATAGCAAGAAATATCGGTTAGAAATAGATTGCTTTCAGTGTGCCGTAATTTAAAAAAGCAAATCAAATACTGTTTCTTAATTCTATGATTTGAATTACTCATGTTACAGATAAGTTAAGCGTAAATGATATGTTTGTTTAATAGAATTAAGGAACGTTCTTTCGGAATATGTATGTTCCTTTTTTATCGACTACTTTTACTGATATACAGCCCATACTTTAGATTCTCTCGAAATCTCGAATAAGATTATATATAATTAACTTGCGAGAAATTTAAATAAACTCATACACACATCTGAGTATATGTGTAGAAATGTTAAGAGGGATATGTTACATAAATTAATCCAATTTTTGGATATTTTATCATCACCCAATTATTATCTACTATGGTAAACTGTACCCGTTTAGGTCTATAATATTTACGATTACTATTGCTATTAGTTTAATAAAATCATAACGGTTATTTTAATACTCTTGGAGACCTAAAATAAGTAACGAAATCCAAATCAGTTTTCAGACATCTAATTATTGTCAGTCTGGCTATTATTATTTTTACAGTAATAATAATTTGAATGAAGTGATCAATAAACATACAGGGTAATTCTAGGGTCAAGACTTTTCTTGACTGATGTCTTTACATCAGTAGTTACTTTATAATATATGGAATATGATAATATATATGGGTTAACAGTAATAAATGGGTAAACAATTTATAATATATGTTAACAGTGATAACGGTAAATTTATACCAAATTGTCAAATCTCTCCGTTGTGGTATGTAACTCTGGACATCTGTACATTTCGCTCGGTATACTCGTATCTAATGTGACATGGAGCGTGTGGTATGTTATGTTTATATTAGAGATGAAATTAATTCTTCTCAAAGTGAGAAGTTTCCCTCACTTTTGCGAACATCTTCATTTAATGTCTTCTAATAAGTTCTTACCATAGACTAATAATAACATAGATTAATAGTTACACAGACTACAATAAACATTATTCCTTTTACAACATTTTTTTGTTCGAATACGGTGTTTGATTTACCGGAGAATAAGTCAGATATTTTTTTGTGTCAGAATGATTTAAACATATTGCAAGGTAGAAAACGCCACCACGGTCTCTATGCAAAGATGGCAAGAATTCTTATAAGTATTGAAATGTTTCTGAGCAAAACTGTAGGAATCAACTAGTATGAAATAATTGTGCTCAGGTAATTGTATCTCTTTAGTACATAATGAGAGAACGTTCTTTCATGCTTAATTACCGGCACTGCGTGACAAATAATATTGTTAGTGTGAAGTCATCATTCTCTGTCTAAATGGAGCCTTGATATTAGCTTCACATCACATGTTAGGTTACTATACGAAATTTATGAATTATTATACCTATGTATATATACTTCAAGGCATATTTTTCAAGCGACAATTTCCCAATCACCAGTATTCTCAAAATACCTCCTGTTTTTTTTCTTTTACGTTAATGTTATCTTCAATTATGAACGTATTATACGAGTATGATTCTTTTTAATAGATTTTTTATATTTAATAATGAATCAAAACAAAGAACATTGGACACGCTATTAGACGCGAATAACGCAAAAGAACTTTGTAATATTAATACCGTTTTTGATTAACAATAATAATATGTTATAACTATATACGACTAACTTAGGGCCCTTTAGATTTTATAATAATTTTAAATAGTCAATCAATTTAGTTTAGAAATTACTTTGTTTTTTATTGTGTTATTCCCATATTGATTATATGAAAATGGACGATATACTTTGACAAATTGTCAAATTTTATAGTTTTTAGAATAGAAATGAAAATTTTAATATTTTATTATACACATAAAAATAATTGTTATACTCAGACACAAAAGTATGATAATGTTTATTGTTCGTTTTATAACATTTAGTGTTCTTTTTATGGTGAAACCTTGAATCAATGCTCTCATGTTATTATGAACTGCTCGATTTACCTGTAAAACAAGTTCAGACCCGCAAAAAAATAATAAAAACTGATTAGTAGAAACAAAAAACATGCTGCATTTGAATATTTAAATATTAGATATAAAATTTATTAATATTATTTTATGTACTTGTTCAAAGCCTGTATTACCAACAAAAACGTGCCTAGTCAATTGTTTAATTAAAAATGCATAATTGTAGGCTAAACTATTTACCTATATAATAAACACGGCAATCGCGTGTTCTCTGTAGTAGAAAGTGAGTGGAACTATTCATTTCAGTGACTATATATTATAAAAGTCTATCTACTGTATAAAATGATAGATTATTATGCAAAAGTGACAACGTATTCTTAGATTTGTAACGTGTTTACCCCTTCATGTAAAACTCAGATTAAGGACTCTACTATTCAGTAGATATGAGAACATTTTGTGATATTTCATCAGTGTTGTTATAGTTTAAATTAAAAAATGGCGTGATATGATGTTATGGCCAAATTATATATGCAGGTACAATTGATACTATACTAGCAGAGCTGAGAAATGGTAGTAATTTAAGAAATACAACACTATTTTTTAACATTACAAGTATAGCTTTAGCTATATATGTAATTGTGGTATGTGGAAAAAAACATACAATATCTTTCTATGAAAACTTTAATTAAATATTTTATTGTTAAATAGTTCACACTTATCAATTGACGGTCTCAGTTGTTTAGCGGTTTATAAAGCCACTTTACATCTGATGGTCGTATAATTATTCGTCTGGGTGTTTTAGATTTATAGTACCTCAGTGTTTACAGAAACTAAATGTACTTATTTAAAAAAAAATATCTGTTGCCTAGTACCCATAAAGTAGGTTTTGATTAGCTTGTGAAAAAAATGTTGTAATACAAAGTTGTAATACAGTTCAATGTTATATTAACTTGGAATAAGGAACATGGAAGTCTCTGTTACGTTTATACTTTATACAATGTATTTAAGATCGTGACACAGGTATATTGGTATTGATATCCTTATGCAAGATAGTCAACCAGACCAGTGTTACTATATGGCATTTTGCAATTGGTGAACCGTGTTCACCTATATTATTAGAATGTTAAAATGCATATAAATATATGTTCGCGACTTTACTCCTGGATGGGATAGTCAAAAATACGTTTTATATTAGCAACTTATGAAAAGTATAGAAAAAAAATATTCCATGTAACAATATTTTATTTGTTATATATTTTTTTAAGAGAGGTTAGCTTGCACAAGATAAAATGTCCAAATAGTAGTTTGCAATATATGCTGTGCTAAAAATGGTACCACAGATTCACGCAAAAACATTTTCTTCAAGGGACGTAACGGCTTGGAATACGTTCTTTAGCCTCATAGAAGTTCTAATTTGTAGCTATTTGAATTATAAAAACAGATAAATTATATCTTTGAGTTTTTGTACTCTTATATTAATGGTGTAGTTTTGCATATCTGATTATTACCTACATTTTTTTAAATACATTCTTATTGTTGTATTCTATGAATTAGTTGCTACCTAGGTATTTACAATTCTTAACTAGCTTGTGTCATATAATTTGTTAATGCAATAAAATATCATGGTTGTAAAGTAATAATACCTAAGTAATTAGCATATTATCTTTTTATTAAACCAAGCTTACATGAGATTCAGTTAGTTGTTGGTTTCGAGAAGGTTATTTATAATATAAATGTATATTAACGACTGTTATCTACGGTGGGTTAGTCAGAGACATTGTCAACTGTTATCGTGGTCAAAGCCACATTTCATTATTACATTACATATTTCGCTGGGTTCATTTGAATGTAACGTGGTAGAAGTTATCTTATCCCTGTTGTTGTTAATGAAATAACTTTTAACTTTTCATTAATAAACAAAATTTTTATATATTATTTAATTATTATTATTATTATTATTTATAATCGTGGAGAAGTAGTAGTTTATAGGCAATTTGACCTATCAAGGAGTAATAATAATTTACATCCGAAATTACATGAAATATTAATTCATTATTTTCGTTATTCGATTATTTCTTCAAATGAAGTCCAGCATTAATAATAAAGCAAGCATTAATTTTTATTAACGTATTTTGAATTGAACAGTTTTATTTTAGGGATACGATTTTTATTTTCAGGAAAGCGGAGAAAGTGGATTTGTCTGGAGGCCCTAATTCCGGTTACACATTTCCAAAGGACTTTTTGTTTGGTGTATCGACGGCTTCTGTGCAAATTGAGGGAGCCTGGAATGAAGATGGTATTTAATATTAATTCATTCATTATCAATTTTGCGTAAGATTCAGAACATTGCAAAACATAAAATTATTTTAACTCAAAATATTCTCAAAGTAAGACTTCTCATTATTTTTTTTTCAATTGTACTTATTTCTTCCACTAAATAACTTGTTTAACTCTTTTGTTGTACAGTGCAGCTATGGGGTAAAAATGTTAGTCCCTAGAATTTAGTATGAGTATAATAGGCGATAATAAAATATTTTGAGATATCCATTAATAGATAATAAGAATATTTCAAGACAATTTACATAGCGCCATTTAGTTCCAAGCTAAGTTGTGCTTGTATAATGGGTACTAGATAACTGATATAAATATATAGATACATTATTTTAAATGCTTACATAATATAAGTATGCATTTAAAGAAAGAAATTTTTAAGAAACACCTACAAAGCGACAAATAATTGTACCGATGAATACAAATGTTCGTACCGTAAGAGGAATCGAACTCGCAACCATCGGAGGTAAGGTTTGTGCTTAACCGCTAGATGTCTATAGGCCAATGATTTTGTGTTATTAAGTTGTCGAGTATTCCATATTGTAAGCCAATTTCGAACTAGACAGTTTCGAAATTGGCTTACAATCATAATAAGTACCTAATTAATAATAATTAGCTAACTAATTAATACAAAATATATAAATATTTACAGGAAAATCAGAAAGCATATGGGACCATTTAGTACACAATAATAAGAGTTTTGTAAAAGACGGTTCGAATGCTGACGTCGCTGCAGACTCATACCACCTGTACAAACGAGATGTTGAAATGGTACACGAACTCGGAGTAGATATATACCGATTCTCAATATCTTGGCCGAGAGTTTTGCCCTCCGGGTTTGCAAACAGCGTCAACCCATTGGGTATAAAATATTATGATAATCTTATTAATGAACTCTTGAAGTACAACATTACCCCGATGGTGACGATATATCATTGGGACCTCCCTCAGAAGTTGCAAGACATCGGTGGTTGGACTAATGCGCACATAATCGACTACTATACAGATTATGCAAATGTACTTTTCAAACATTTCGCTCATAAAGTTAAATACTGGGTCACTTTTAATGAGCCCATGCAGACCTGTTTGGAAGGTTATGGTGGAACATACAGAGCACCAGCACTAAACAGACATGGTATTGCGGAGTATCTTTGCACTCATAACCTTTTGAAAGCCCACGCGAGTGCCTACCATTTGTTTAAAACGAATTTCAGCGAAACTGGAGGTAATTTCGAAATTTCTTGGTAACTTTTAATTATACCTCATTCTGGTTTAATCTTTATTCGGTTATTTACATATACTTTTGTTCTCATTTCAGGTAAAATAGGCTTATCTTTGGATTCGAATTGGGCAGAACCTAAAACAAATTCAGAAAGTGATAAAAAAGCGTCGGAATTATATTTGAAAACTCACGTTAGTGTTAATATTATTATTAGGTTTTATTGTTATATTTTTTAACGACTTTAAGCACGATGGATAGTAAGCTATTGCTATATATTGTTTCCACCAGCATAAATTATATGTCGGGTTAGGGCATCAGAAATGTCATATCCTAGGTATTAATAAATTATAAAATGATTAAGTTACAGACGTAGATTTATCCATATTCCTCAGACAAACTACTAACTAAAACACATTTTATTTGGATTTCTAAGTCATACTTATACAATTTATGCAGCAAGACGTAACGTCGCCTTTATTAAATACAGAGGAAGGTACACCTTTCAGCCGCGCCTTAATGTACAATCTATATGTCTACGTTTGTGCCAAGTTTCAAAAGGTTTCTATAGTTTCATATCATATCGTTACTTTTTATCCCCAGGAAAAAACAGATCAGATGATACTGGATTGTGTTGTGATTTATGTGTGTGACGTAGAAGTAATATCATATACAATGCTTTCTATAATATGTAGAAAATTATCTAAATACATGAAATATATGTACCTACATATTTATTTTTGCAGATGGGTTGGTACGCGCATCCCGTATACTCTGCAACTGGCAATTATCCACCAGAACTAATTCAGTTGGTCAATGAGAAAAGTAAAGAGCAAAATTATAGTTCATCTCGATTACCAGTCTTCAGTGAAGAGGAAGTAGCTTATATAAGAGGGACCGCTGATTTCTTTGGTCTAAATCATTATACAACTTATTTATTATCTATGGCTGATAAAGAAGTCGGCGCAATACCATCACATGAAAATGACGTCGGTATTGTCAGAGTACAAGATCCAGACTGGCCTTCCTTGTCTTCATCAGCATGGCTCAAGGTAAATTATTTATTTACATGTGCACAATTATTAAATCAACATTATAGGAACATTTAGATATCTAATAAATATTTTTCGAACCTTTATCAAGTTTGAAAATACAGCAGAACAAATTATATGATATTACTGGATCTTTAATATTTGTAACTTCTTATTTATTGAAATCTTCAATACAGTGTTACATGTTTAAGATACATAAGTCTGTGCATAGACAATTTGAAATAAGTGTCTTTATAAATTATGTACTATAATATGACTAATAAAACTAGAACAACCATTTAGAGACACGATTGCTAGATACGTTTTATGTACTGGTTTTCCCTTTACCAAGGAAAAAAAAAGATTTAATAATCCCTGTTTGATGTGTTTAGATACAACAGAATATTTTTGATACTGGAGAAGATATGTATACAGTCATTATGCAAATGCTGTGAAGCTATTATTTTAATTCTTTATACGAGATAAAGAATTAAAATAATAGCTTTACAGCAATTGCAATACATTTAATATTGCATTTTCCTCACTTTTACACTTTGCGCCGGTTTTTCCTAATGCACATATGCACTGGATATTTAATGTAGTAACTTTTTTGAAAAGTAATTATTCTACTAGCCGATGTATAGCAGTGGAATAGGTAGTATATATAGGTAGACAGCAATGGCAGAATGAAATAAGAAAAATAAAATCTAGGAGAATTTACACAGCGCCATCTAGTCCCAAGCTATGATTGTATTAATAAATGAATACAAAATATCCAAAATATTTTGTATGCATTTATTTATACAATCATATTCATTAATACATATCTTTGTATCGTGCGAGGAATCGAACCCGCGACCATTAGAGTAAGGCGATGATGACCGTTACCATGTTGTTAGGAATCTGGCAATAACACTACAATACATTTACAGAATGTTTAAAAAAAAGATATATCACAATAGAAATTATGTTAAACACATTGTAACAAATAGAATTTCTCTGACCATATTTTATGCATGAAACTTTTTCAGGTAGTGCCATTTGGTTTCCGTCGACTGCTCCACTACATTACGGAGACATACAAAAATTATCCTATTATTGTGACGGAAAATGGCTACGCTGACTTCAGTGGATTGGAGGATAAATCTCGTGTATCATATTATAAGCATTACCTGAATGCTCTTCTTCATGCTATCCATGAAGATGAAAGTAATGTCGTTGGATACTTCGCATGGAGTTTGATGGATAACTTTGAATGGGATGATGGTTACGTGTAAGTATTTAATATATTCTTGAAAAATTTAATTTTTGCCGATTTTGAAATTAGCTTTTAACAAAGTGCTTGACACTAATCACTGTATTTTATTGTATTATGAATTCTATTCTCTGCATATAGTCTCTCATCTGGGCCACTAATAAGTTTTTTTTTTTTTTAATTCATTAACTGTTTTTTAATCGTTTCTATATTATGCCTTTAGTTGACAATTATGAAACATAGTTCTCTTGTTTAAAATAAATATAATAAAAATAATTTGAAATCATATTTCATCTTAAATTCCTATATCCATTTAATGTGCGATTCCTTGTTAGGCTATATTTGATTTTAATAGTGATCTTCGAGAATGTGTAGTGTGTCTTAGCGTGCAATAATTAAATATACCTAATAGCAAATGCACATTTAAGTAACTTCATGAACTTAACACGGTCAGCTCGATGTTAACTACAAGTACGATATGATAGCTAAGGATAAGATAGCAATTTATCACGAGATACAATGTTGGCTTTTGTACTATTTAGGCTATTGATACAGATGGTTATCAATAGTTATTTTATTTATTTTGAGAACACATCTTCACTGATTAATTGAATAAATAGAATTTAAACTAGAGCATAAAATTGTACTTTCAGTTTCGTTGCGGTTAAAACGAAACTGTTTTGTATTATAATATCATTTAACATTTTTAACAGTTTTTGTATTATTTACCAACTAACTACATTCTTTTGTATTGGTAAAATAATTACTGTACCTCGCTATGTATTGAAGATGTTGTAATCTTTGTTGTAAACCTGATATATGTACTGTTTACATACTAGCAATAATATATTAAAAATAACCCTGGAAATTCACACAACGCCGTTTAGTCCCAAGCTAAGCAGAGCTTGTTACTAAAAAAATAAATAAAATACTTAAACACATTTTTGTTTGTATATTGATATCTATACTTACCTGAAACATTCAGACTAATATAAACATTAAATCATGAATACAATTGTGCGAGGAATCAAACCTGCGACTATACCGAACCACTAGACCATGCGTGAAATCCAAGTTCAAAGTTTAGGAGCTAAATCAATATGAATGCATGAAAAGATTAAAATATCTCCTATCTGTATAGCCTATCTCTATGTATATATATATCTCTATATTTATACATTTTATATATTAATTTGTGATGTTTCTAATTTACAATCCTTGATAAGTGGATGTAATAAATAAATTTATGAAAAGATTACCTAAACCTTAGCCTGTCGTTCTTTGGTAGCACCTACATATAAGAATTAATTTAATATCTTAAAGTTGTTTGAAGTAAATAGAATGTAGAATCTTCTGAAATGCCACACAGATATAATTTTCTAAAAGTTCAAGGCCTAAACAATACCTTTTTAACTTTATATTTAAGAAATAATAATGGATTGCAAAAAACGCCAATTATTTTTATGCTGAGTGGTTTTAGTCCATTTAGTTATTCCATATGAACAAAGTAGATATATTGAATTGTTGAAAAATCATTTCCTAATTAGGTATTTCTTCTTTTTCATTTTAAGAATAAATGATAATTTATTTTCCGACATGCATGTATATTATGGTGAAACATTTTTGAACAATCTTCGTTCGCAACGTCATGTTGACCTCCACGCGGTTTCCCCTGAAAACCATCGTGGTAAATTGTTATTTATCAAGATGGGCTGATCTGACTTCATGTGCATTTTATCATCCTCCACTGGTGGCCCGCCAGCGTAAGCCGTTAGCGAGGGCGGGTGAACCATTCTATTATCGTCGATTAAAAAAAATATATATATTAAACTATTATTAAAAATCAAAACTCCATTTTTAACATTTTATATCCAGTGTTGAAAATAGCGTTCCTCATAGACTATCAGAATGAATGAAGTAACCTTGTATTAATCAATTGCTCTACATGTTTTGTTAGGATTTCTACTTTTTTTTATATATTTAAAACATCTTTATTACATTAAAAAAATATTATCATCTGTATATAAGTAGAAGAAAAATATATTTAGAAGAAAAAAACAAACAAAAATAAAGAATCAGTCAAAACGGTTTAATTCACTCGTGATGTGTTTTGTAAATGCAATTACAGGTCCCGCTTCGGTCTGTACCTGGTTGATTTTGATAGTCCTAACAAGACAAGAACACCAAAGCAGTCGGCAAAGCTGTATTCGAGCGTGGTGGCATCCAGGAGTTTGCCATCCAACTTTGACTCTCAAGACTTCACCGCATTTTCATCGGCATCTGTCCTAGCTCCCACTCTTCTTCCCTCCCTACTTATGTACAGATTGTTAAATTAATCTTCTTGTACACAAAATTTCTGTATATAAAACTGTATGTCTATCATTATAGTTTAAGTAACAATATTCTTAAGTTTTATTTTCAACTTGATCCCTTAAACTTAACTTAGAAATAACAATGAGAAAATCGAGCCCGCGTGGGTGACTGCCGATCGTTCAATATTCATTGGTAGCTACTTGAATGGCGCTGCCCCTTTCTACTTCTCTTCGTAATTGTTCTTGAATACCGGAGAACGACTTGCCTTTCGTCTCAGCTAGTACTACGAGCGTGAACACCAGACCAAGGAAAGAGAAGGCCGCAAATCCCCAGAATACTGTGTAAATTTCATAAGCGTCCTTTACCACCTGAAATCGTTAAAGAAACCCTTGATTAAAACAGTTTACAAATTATTTTTTAATTATATTAATTATTTATTTTAGTGACTAAGTATGACTACTTGATGGCCCATTCAACATAGATATTAAGCTAAATTAAATAATAGGAAGATTATCTTTCATACAAACATTAAATTATAATTGATTTTTTTTGGAACAAAATAGCAAATTATATTAATGTTGATTAAACTTATATTTAGGAAATAAGAATCTAAATGTATGACTATATTTTTATTTAGATATAAAATTGAAATTCAGCCAAATTGATATGTACCTCTTGTAAAATCGATTTTACAGTATCGTGGTCGATTGTTATCTATCGTATTGGTACTGATCAGATCAGTGAAAGCGAATGGCGGCGTGAAATTCAATAGTACACTATCTGCATTTCGAGGAAAATTCACTTTTTCAGCCATTTAACAGATTGCTTTTTAAGATATATTTCGGTTGATAGGTGAGACAAAGCCATTCCATTCTCTGTAATTGATCTCATCCCGTAATTTCATTAAATTACAGGATACGGAGATATGACATTTTAGTTCTCTAAAATAGCAACGAATGAGAGGTGGAACGCGTCGACCTGTGTTCATATATATACGCGACGATTACCACTTAGCATCAGATGGGCTGTCAGCATTCTAATTACATACATAAAAGAACAAAGTATCTAATATATATAATAATAAAATAATAAACCAACCTGAAATAGTTTTTGAACTGTAAACATAGCGATACCGGTGTATATGTGGGCAACACATGAGGCGTAGAGTTTTACATTCGTTGGGAACATTTCTCCAATTATCACATAAGGTACTGTTGATAGACCGATGGCATAGCAAACTATATAGATGAGCAGAGCACATAATGGAAGCCAGTTTAGGAAATCTACAGATCCTTTGTTTGTAATATCGAAGAAGAAGTATGTGCCTATAGTACCATTCATTAGACCAACTCCAAGCGCTGACAAAAGAAGTAGGGGTTTTCGTCCAACACGGTCCACAAGAATTACTGAAAGAATACAAGTAGCAACTTGGACACATCCTAAAATAATAGATTCCTGGTATGGTTTAATGCTAGTGCCAATATGTGGAACAGTTTTATTTAGTCCTGAAGCATTAGTGGGAGCATTGGCACCTTGTGTAGTACAATTAAAAATAACTTCAGCATATGCAACCACTGCGGCGCTCCCACACAACTGTTGAATTGTAAATATTCCTAAACATATCCATAAGGCTTTTCTGTTTGTAGCTTCAGTGATCAAATCACTCCAAGTTCCTCGATTTTTCATATCTTCTTGAACATTAATTTCTATATTTTTAAGTTCCGTTCTTATATCTCCAGAACGTAGACTTCTAAGGGATCGTTCTGCCCTTTCGCTGCGTTCAAATTTCAGGTAATAGTAGGGCGATTCCGGAAGGAAGATAAATGACAAGACAAAAGTAATCGGCAGGGTCAAGTTAATGGCGGCTAAGGTTCGCATCGATACGAATGGTCCGATGCAATACTGGGCAAGAATACCAATCTGAAATTGAAAAATACAATATATATTAGTTTCGTCATTTAGTATTTACTACTGTTGTGTGTATTTTTATAATATTGCAGAATAAATCGAAAACTGTGTTCCTAAATACTTATTAATATAATATTTTTGACAGTTTTATTAAACAAATAATAACACTGGACAATTCACACAGCGCCATCTAGTCCCAAGCTGTAGTTTTGTTATGGGTACTACACAACGAATATAAATACTTAAATAGTTTTTTTGTTTATAAGTACGTAATATACAAAAAGTGATCAGACCAATACAAACAATCATACTCATGAAAATAAGTCGTGCAAGAAGTTGAAACCGCGACCATCGTAAGTAAGACGGTGCATATTTTTTTTAAACAAAGTATCAAAATAATCAAATTATCATTATTAACTTGAAATGACGACAGTAAAATACGATAACAATAAGCTTGAAATATCGCGCAAAAGACTGGTGTATCTGTAATCTTCTGGTACTTGACAAAGTTGACGAGTTAATACAGAACAATTTTATTACTTTCGTGTAACTTTAATACCGGCAATTCAGCTTTATCAAGATATGTCGACGCCATAATATACAATTATATTAATCTTGAATATTTGTACTCATGACAACATCAGTACATATACAATATTGGCTATTGAGAGGACAACCTTCACATCGAATTTGCGCACTGTATAATATATAATAGCACAATTGTTCCTTAGCACTTTGTGTTTTTTTAATTCATTAGTTTATTAAAAGAAATTTATGATATATGCGAAGAGTTAATAAAAATATTGTAATAAGTTTTTGGTATTCAATACTGGAAATATATTCGAAAATAAAAGATGTTAATTTATTGGTACCATGAAAATTTAAGGTAGAGTTTTCTGTATGGGGAAGCAATAAATAAAGGTTCTGGTTTTTCTTACTATACTGAACTACAAATATAGCAAGAGGAAATTTATAACATTGTAATGACATACCTATATCATGTATACGTAGGATATATGTATACATAGGAAATATACAATATTTATTATTGTATATTTTCTATGATCTAAGTTCTGATCAAATCAAAACAACGTGCGTTATTAATCCTTTAAACAGCTTAATTAATTTGAACGTTTGATATATATAGATTATAGTCTGATTTTTAATCTCGGAAACTAAATTGTCAGGTGTAAATGTCAATTTTTCAAACAGTATTATCAGCTTTAGCGGAGCAATGTATCTGTTATACGGTTTTGTTAAATCGTATTTTTTTAATTTAAACGATTAGGTACTTTTATAGCTTTTTTAAGTATTTTCCACAACATATTTTCAAATATTACGTACGTACACTAATGTTTCCATTACTATCTTCGTATTAACCAACACCAACATACATTTTTGTAGATTCCATACATATGTATAGTAGATGTTAAGCTACAAATCTATTTTTTCTTTTAAATTGGTGTAGGTTTTATGAAATATGGCACCATACTAATGTCACTTGTTTTATAAAAAGACTAGGCAGTTAAGGCAGTCCCTGTTTTAGTGTAATATGTCAATAACAAATCTATTTTTCTTCAACAACCCTATATTATTAGTACCTATAATTTATTAATTTTGTGTTAATACGTATTAAATGAACACCCACGTGTTATTTGAGTGTAACCGATTTAAAACGGTAACTAATAGATATTAATTCCGATTAAGCCCTAATACTATTTAAGAATCGCTAAAACTGGCAATATATGTGATCTCAAATTTGCCTCTGAGATAAAAAACAGACTATAGTTATGTTTTGTCTTAATTCACGTCGATAAATGCATAGGAAGAATACAAGGATTGTCATTAAAATGACGTACGTTCATTAAAATGATATACGTTATAAACCCACATATATATATATATACCCATATATACGCCCACCCATTAATAACCATTAATAATAATAAAAAAATAACGAATATAATGATACAAAAATTGCATAAATTATACGTTATTTATATTCTAATAATTAAACGTAAGATTTTGGAAATATATCCAAGGAAATAAACAATTCTTGCATTAGCATGACGTTCGCGGCAATTGCAGATTGAACTTCGCAGAAAATCCATAGTACTATATTTATGTAAATGTGTGGGTTAATTATGAGCAATATGTAATTAAGGCAGTGAGTCATGTTAATCACGTTTCATATTGCGTATTTGTAGCTAAGCAAATATCTGATGGGTGGGGTGAGAGACACAGTCTGCAAATATATTGTAGGTACTTCTGAAGTACTGATATAAATATATATACTCCTACTAAGTATCCCGTAAAAGCATTACTACTTAAGTATTGATAAAGGTAATCGTAATCAATATATAAGTAGTCATAGATGTTATATATTTATATTTATAATATAACTATTGTATCGCTACTGTATCATGATTAATTAAAAAAAATGAATTTTAATAGTACTTGTTGAGATAGATAACTGCAAATAACAATTTTTTTTGAGAATTAGATATCTGAAACATCACACACAATGCTTATCAACTAAACAACAGTAGGTATTCAGGTCATGACAAAGCATATAATGAGATTGGCGCTCACAATTGTCGATTTCATTGAATACGACTCGCCTGTGGTTTTCAATTTGTTTCATATATACAAAATGTATTTATTTTTTATAATTCAAGGCCAAGCTGAACTGTCAGTTTTTTTTTTAAATTGCGTCGCGACTGTATAAAAAGTTTGTATTATACAATAGATTAACAAACAGAGTGGTCCATAATGAATCAGAACATTTCAGTATGATTCGTTGTTTTTGCAATGGCTTTGCCCACATGAATACGAAGATATTTTTTTTTAGATTCTTTTAAATTACGATATTGACTAATTTTATTTTTTAGTTTTATGTGTTATCTGTGGTTTTATTCAAATTTGTCTAGCCGCGTAAGTATGAACGTTACACAGTGATAAACATACTTTAAATGCATCTTTTGAAACATTCATGTTGTATTAATAGGAGTGGGTACCTACTTTATTTAGATAAAGCAATTGTAATCTTCATCATCATTACATAGTCTAAAATAAAGTCGCTGTCGCTGTCTGTCCGTCCTTATATATGCTTAAATCTTGAAAACTATGCAAAGGATTTTGAAGCGGTTTTTTTAATAGATAGAGTGATTCTAGAGAAAGATATATATAGAGTAGCTAGTGAAGGAATAATTGCATATAAACGGAATTACTTGATACGGCATTTCAGTAAGATATGCGCCTTATCAAAAGTGTAATGAGTATAGTTAAATAAATATAATAAACATTTCTATACAGGTTAAGGTAACAAGATTATTATTTGATTAATATTTCAACTTATAGCGGTAAATATATTTTAAAGGCATTAATTAACATTTGGGTATCATAAAACATCTAATGAAGTAACTTTATATTTTTACTTCAATATTAATTAGTTCACTGTACAACATGGCGAGATTTAATGAATAACTACGAATACTACGTACATTAGTATGAGATACTTACTTTATTCATTAGTGTAATGAGAGTAGAGAGAGCCCCTCGAACTTCATTTGTAGCAATTTCTCCTGTATACATAGGTGCAACTGTATATACAATCCCGTATCCGAGTCCAGAGAACATTCTAGCTATATATAGGACTCCTACAGATTTGGCGAAGATGATCAACAGCCAACCAATGATGAATGGCACCGCTCCGATGAGTAACGTAGTTTTTCTTCCAAATCTGTCAGCTAGGTAGGCCGAGGGAATTGGTGTGATGGCGGAGGACAGGATCATTATAGATACTATCCATGATCCCTCACTAGGTGTTGTTGGTATGCTACTGTCAGGTGACTGCAGATAAGGTAGCGTTGGTGATGGCCAGCCATAGCAGGTACCCGCCGTCGCTGTGATAAGCGTTGCTGAAAATAAACAGAATTACAAAATTATTAACGCAGAAAAAAATTAAATGAAGTGCATTTATTGGACTCATCTTTTAGACTAGACTATAAAGCAAATTAATATCATTATTTTGAGAATGAATAAATACCTTGATATAAACGACTAATCCTGAAATATTTGATTATTAATTAGATTCGTAGATTTATATGCATCCAACCTTCACGCGGGTATAGTGGACAGTAATGATTTTTCATACCGCTAGCTAGCAAACAATCATACGGTCCATTTAGTGGCAAACATAATTAATGAATATAAATATTTCTATGTAAAAATATCACATTCGTTTTTGGCTATTCTAACGTATCCTATTTTATTGAATTCACTCTTCAGTTGATACAATAGTAATGTATCCAATCCCATCTATGTGCCAAGTGCATCGCCCTTTATCATCACAGGTGTTTGACTAAGACACATATTATCATAATAAAGTATCGGAAAGTTAGTGAACATGAAAATGTTTACTCATACAGATAAATAAAATAATTTGTTAATTTTCCATTAGTTTATGTTTGTGGAAATATCCATTATGGTTTATCTTACTTTATCTAATTCATAATCATTTATTTTTTGTTCATAATAATACTATAATATATATTTTTTAAATAGAATATATTTTAAGGGATTTATATAAAATTTAAAGAATTGATACAGACAATATCAATTACTACGTCGAGAATTTATTTCAGTTGTTGGACTGTCTTGAGATATTTTTAAAAATATAAATTTTCTTAATAGGGTCGTCCTACTTCAATCTTTCACCAATAATAATGTCATGACAGGCTTATAAATATAATACTGTTGTACAAGTATCTCGTTTGTATAACCCACAATTGTGATAAAATTTATTTTAATTTCATAAATAAATAAAAGAGAGCTCTATAAAAAGAACTAATATTAATCTGTTCATAAACGTCAAAACGCGATTTATACTCGTAGCGTAGATCGTTTGGATCCTTGCTACTTGAAATGTTAGTAGAAGTTGGTCAGTTAGCTCTACGTGAAGAAAGTTTGCATTAGATTTTTAGACATTAGATAGACCCCGATTGTATTTACCGATTGTGTCTTAGAAGTAGACAGGTTTAATTAATGAAGATAGTCTACTGTTTTTAGGATAGGCTTCTTTTGTCTTTTTTATTCCACGCTTGTCGGCTAACTTTAGGTTTTATGAATGCAAGAATTCCTGAGTGGCCCCAATTCAGTAATAAATACATTACTGTCACTAATTTAATATCAAAGCTATATTTCGGTTTTAATGGCACTGAAATTGCCATAACATCGTACTTCGTGAGAATGGCTACGCATGAGAGGAACCACGGGTGTCACAGTATACAGTGTAATATCCGTTGACAGCATAGAGACATAATAGGCGTTGACATCTAGGTAACGGTTACTTGTTTGGGTGTTTAGTTTACCATAAACGCATAAAACGAATTTAATAAAATATAGTCAATTAATAATGAAGCTTCGTGAAACTCAATGTTTTTCAAAATTCAATATAACGAATACAAACTTTTAGTATAAATAGGTATATCTATATATGCAAAATTACCGAGAAAAATCGTTACGATCGCATTCATATATTGTAACCATGTATTGGTCGGTACTTTTTCACGCCAAACAGCTGAATGATTTAAGAGCCATTTAAAATGTTTAATATAACGTTTGTATTACGAAGACGGAAAAAAATTATCTGGAAGGGGATTAAAATTTGAGCAGACGAAGTCGTAGGCAACAGCTTGTATGCTATAACTAGTTTGAATAATTGTTATATATCAATGTGTTTACAATAGAATTACATCCTGTCTACTGATAGTAAACTGTCAAGTTTAAGAACAGCGGAATATCGAGGCCCACGTTATCTGTACTCGTGGAAAATTTGACCACTCCAGTGCTCCTTTTATAACCTATGGAAGTCTGTTTACAACTAAAAATATATATAAATTATATGAGCAATTAATCTCTTGAAAATATACTATACAGACTTACTTAGGTATTACCAGTGTTCTGTTTTGTACACATAGATGTTTGTTTAGATCTGTCCTGATTTCGCTACAGACGAGGTGATATATAAAGTGATCCAGGACATACCCCTATATTGTTCGTATATATATTAGTTTGTTAAACAGATTGAAGATATTTTTTATGAACGAGATTTTTGTACGGTTAGATCTTTATATATTTGAATTCGAAAAATTCTAGAATAATAAAATAAAATCAGTACAAATCTGTTATACCTAGTGGTTAATATAGTATAAACAATATGATTACTTATTTTATTTCATATGACACCAGACAACAGATACGAGTATATAAACGGTTTTTGCTACAGACCATTTTAATTAATTTTGTATTCTAGATATATACTCTATTAAATAGAAATATGCGTCATTTTAAGCAAATTGTCATTAATCACCCAAAACAACAGTAGATTAAAATTTTAACATGTTACTCTTTTGAACTTCGATAACCTGGTTTATTTATTTCAAGGAATTATTGTGAATGTACATTGTTATTTATTATAGGAATAGGTACTCTATTACATATTATTATAACTACTAGATAGGTAATAAATTAAACTAATTTGCATCTTCGTTTCTCTGGATTAGTTATAATAAGCAGTCATTTATGGAATAGACTTAAGATTCAACTATAAAAGTATATAACTGAAATAAAAAGGAGTCATCTCAAATATAGGTTTAAGACTAAACTCAAATAAGTAATTCTTGGTAACCTATACAAGTAGTGTAGGTTTCCTGTATAATTGGAAGAACTTACTGAATCCCAGTATACGGTACGTGAGTACGTACCGTATACCGTATGCTGTCCATAAAAATGGAAAGGTACTCCCCAACGAATGTATGAGACAAATGTAATGAATACACTGTTACCGTTTATAAATGCAGATTGGTCAGTTACATGATTCGCTATTGATGATGCGTAATTAACTAATTGGTGTAAATGAGCTGAATAAGTTTATGATATACTACGCGCAATATATAATAGCTCACATGCCACTGAATTTCTAATAGATGTGCTATAAAAATAAAATCTGTCTAGCCAAAAGAATTGGGTCGTTACATTAATCAAATATAAAATACTCAAGCGTTTATATTTATGATAGTAAGTGTCTTCTTATTGATTTTGACGAAGAAGGACTGACAGAGCATGAGAGCACAAATGAATACACATCGATAGTCAAAGTCCATAATAATTACAACTATATTGGAAACTATTTTTCACATACATACATATTTTTCTAATATTTCACAACTTAATTACAATAAAATGGATATACCTCTATAATTTATTTGCGTTATTCAACCAATATCACATTAAAATTACAATAATATTTACCTAATTAAATTCTACAAAATAGGTACATTACTTAAAAGCGAACCAATAATAAATCACGTATTATGAAGGAAATAAAACCAATAACAACGATTATAAACGGTAAATCATGTCCAAGAATCATTTTAATGAATTTCATTTCAATTATTACCTATTTACAGAAAAAAAAATATTCGTTTGCACCATAAAACTAGAGAAATATCTGTGTATATTATTTTGTGATACTGGCACAGAACCGATTTTGTATTCTATTAGTCTATTTACATAATATTATATTGAACAACGTTTTGTAGGTTAAATAAACGTAGAAAAGTGTTACCACTGATAAGAGAATAGTGTTACCATAATTATAAATATAGATAGATATAAATAGTGTTACATTATTTTACAAAAGGATGGTAATTGTTATTGTATTTTAACTAAATAACTTTATTTTAACGTCTGATTTCTGCGCGAACAGCGCAGTATATTTTTGTAATAAATTCATAACTTATTTTAAAAAATTGCGATATTAGAAACTGTAAAAAAAAGAAATACATTTTTACATATAATTTTCCACCCTATGGATTTTTATTCCAACCCTCAGATTGACCCGTTTCAAATTATATGTCAAAATTAAAAAAAACAACGAATTGGTATAACAATTTTTTAATAAATAAACTCCAATTATGGATACGGAATAAAAGAAAATGCACTAAATTTTTTTACCATAACCAATATTAACAGCTGAGAACTATATTTATACTATCGTCTATATAACTCATAAGAATTAACAAAAAATATTCACCTACAAGTAAACTATAAACAATTCTATTGAAATTCGATTCGCCGAATTTAACGGCAAAGAATACGACTTCATCGGGCAAAATATGTATATTTTAGATTACACTAGCGCTTTTTAGTTTTACTTGTGCATTATACTATAAAGAGGAAGGTCTTTATGTTTGTAACGACTTGATGCTTATATCTGAGTAATAACACTTCAAGATATAAGATGCAAAAAAATCCATTCGTGCGAAGCCGGGATGCAACTATAATGCAGACAAGTATAATTTAATCTGCATATTTATTTATTTGAATTAATTTATTTATATGTCCATTTCATATTATTCGTTTATTATTTATACTTTTCATATAAACGAAATAAATAAGGCTGTTATGGGTTACTTATTTTTGGGATTGATTATTGTCAATTTTGATGTCTACAAATGTATATGCGGATAATGTCGCTGGCACCACTAGTATATTGTATTATACAAGTATGTGTTTATGTAATGCGCGATAATCATATAGAAGGATATACATACATACCGACATACACAATGGCGGTATTGTATGAGGCATATCCGTAGATTACGTAATACATTTATGTACAAACCAAGTGAAATATGAAATATTCGTACCTATAAATTCATCGTAATCCATTAAATAGGAGATAGACCATTACAATACTTTTAAATATAATGTTTCATTAATTATTCAACAAAAATAAACATTAGTCTACAATAAAATAGAACCGCAATCACAAACGCATCCGTACCGTCTCTAGTTGTGGTGACAATAGATGCGTGTGATTGGCCGAAATATACTGTTCTTGTTATCAACCAAT